CCTCCGCCGCCGCCAACCGCCGCCTCAGCTTGCGCCGCCGCCGCCGCCGCCGCCGCGCACGCCATGGGAGCCGTGACTGACGGTGAGGCCCGCCGCCGCCCGCGCCGCGCCCCGGGCCCCTCAGGCCCCCCCAGACGCCCCGGGCCTCCCCGGCCGCTTCCGGGAGCACTCCGGCCTCCCCAGCCGCGGCCCCTCGGGCCCCCGGGCCTCTCGCCGGAGCGCCGGGCCTCCCCGGCCGCCCCACCCCGAGCCCCGAGCCCCTCCGGAGCCCTCGGACTCCCCGGCCGCTCTCCCAGAGGCGGCGCCGAGCGCGGGGAGGGGGCGCTGGGAGGGTCGTGGAGCGCTGGGACGGCTGGAAGCGGCGCGTGGGCGGGTGGTACCGGAGGGAGTCCTAGTCCAGGGATGGGGCGAGGTCCCTGGAGCGCGAGGAGTGGGGAGCGGTGGAGAGCGTGGAGCTGGGGGGCTGGAGGGACGGGGGGCTCCAGGGTGGGGCAGGAGTTGCGGGTCAAACTGGGAAGGAGAAGTTTCAAGACTAGAGTACTAAGGGTGGCAGCGTACGTAGGGTGACTACTGGGGGTCCTCTGGGCGGATTGGGAAGGGCACGCAGACGAGGCAGTGGATCGCAACGAGGCCTTGAACCAGGAATGAATTAGGGGTGGGGAGAGGGAGCCAGAGCGTCATCGAAAAGGAATACGTATGGATGGGGTATCCGGAGGGCAAGCAGGAAGTGTACCTGGAGATTTCTGAAGAGGCCAGGGTGGTGGAGCAGGCCATAAAAGATGTGTTTGTGTGTGTGGCTCTTGGGGAAAATCATTTGTCAGCTGGAATGGATTGGGGTGGGAGGGGCAACAGTTGGGTTTGTGGACAGTTGTAAAGGGTATGGCCTAGGGATCCAGAGTAGATATTAGAAATTAGGTAACACTCTGGGGAAGGGTGAATGATGGACAACTGGAAGGAGAATCTAGAAGGTATCTGGTTAGAGAGGAGGGAAGTCCTTTGGCATCTGGGAAGGGGAGATCTAGGGATGATGGGGTTTTTTTGAGGAGAAGGTGCCCAATAACTCAATGCCTGTGGAGGCCACTTCTGGAGAGTTGAGGGCCAACAAGGTTTCCACGTTAAGGGGTCAGTTCAGGGGAAGAACAGTGATAGGCCCAAATTTGCAGACTGATAAGGAGTAGTGGAGGTGGGAGGCTGTAAAAGACCCAGACACTCACTTCATGGGGAATTTTAACTTCGCTTAATTCCAGTTTCACTCATTCAGTAGATAGTTATCCCACCCAAGGCTAGGCTTTGGGATTACAACTCAGAGCTAACAGACAAGACCCTATCCCTCTCAAAGGGTATGGTCTGGTGGGAAACACTGAATAATTTAGTTTTCTAAGGGTGGCAGATGTTACCACAGGGAAGTACAAGGTTGGAAATTGTAAGAACACGTAACAAAGATTGTTTATCCATTCCCAGAGATGGGACAGCCTCCCTGAAAAGTTAATCTTAATCCCATATTTTTTTTTCAGAATAAATAGATGTAGATAGCTGGTGTTCCAGGTAGGGAACCACTTGTAAAGAGGCCCAAAGTGTTAGGAGAACTGAAAGCTGACAAGTATTGGCTAGAATTTAGAAAGGTGAGCCAGAGATTTCTGAGGGCTGTGGAAGCCATTAAAATGTTTAACATTGGTGCAGAATGATCAGATTTGCATTAAAACACACATACACTGCTATATTAAGAGTGATGAGAAGGGAAAATGAACTAAGTTCCCTCCCTACTTACTAACATTTGTATAGTACTTATACCCTTTGTCAAGCAGTGTACTAATTATTATCCCCATTTTACAGATGAAACTGGGACACAGGTTAAGTAGCTTGCACAGATTGTAAAACCTAGATCCCAGGCTCAAAACCAGGAAGACTGGCTCCAGAGTTCTTGCTCTTCACTGTTATGCATTCTGCTCTGTTACTGTTGCAGTGGTCCTAGTGAGAGATGGTGGGCACTCCAACCAAGAGGGAATGCAGAGAAGGTGGGGAGAGAATGAGAATGAGATTGAGTGGTTGTGGGAAGGAGGGTTGGGGATGATCCCAGGTTTCTGACTTTACTGTGTGCCTGTTCTTGCTAAGTTTTGTCAGATGAGAAATAATAAGGGAAGATGAGTTCTAGTGAAAGTAATGACTGCAGTCAGGTGCCCCCCACATCCTTGGAGGCCACAGAAATTCCCCACTGTCACTTAGAAAATGTCTGCCCTTGTGCAGGTTAATCAACTTCTTTGAGCCTCAGTTTCATTCTCTGTAAATGGAGATAATAATAAAATCCACCTCAGAGCATTGGTTTCAGGACTAAATGCACTAAAAATAAAGGGCTTTGCACTGAGTCCAACATGTAGTAATGTTCATTAAATATTAAATATGAGAGTTGTTTTACTAATCTCTTCCACTTTCCTTCAGTATGGTCTATACCTTCTCCTCTTTTACTCTGCATAGATTGCCCTTTCCTGTCAGGTGACAGCCCATTTATTCAAGACCCACATCAAGCATCTCCACTTCTCTTTCCTAGAGCTGGTTGACTCTTTGCCTATTAATCATATTATTTTATGCATGTTGCCGTTACAGCCCTCACTTTATTTATATGCCTTATGCCAGAAGACATTTAAGACATCTCACTATAATGAGAAAACATAAAAATTAAATGGGTGATAAAACAGGACAAGAAAAGCAATGGAAAGTCAGACTTGGGGATGAGCCTCAAAATGCAAGAGGTAAAGTCTAGTATGTTAATTACCAAACTATATGTGACCTGTTTCTCTAGCCAACCATGCTAAGAAGCAGGACCTAGTCTATTCTGATCTAGTGTTCATGGGAGAAGGCAACATTAGATATCCAAGACAAGCGGGGTTTTTTTCCGATTTAAACTCCAGAGAAAAAGTTTATCTTTGAGATCCCAATAAAGAAAAGCCAGTGTCTTATCCTTAACCTCTTCTCAACACTGAAAATTATAAAGCTGTTTCTTAGCACATCCCTTGCTAGATCAAAGCAACCTGAATCACAATTTCCAAAGCCAGACAGTGTGGTTTAGGTGGGTAGTGGGTAACTCTGCTGCTCTGGTTTAATTCAAATCAAGTTTTTTTTTGCCTGTTTGTTTTAAGACTATCTAGACCATAAAGAAAAAGACGAACTACAACTTCTTCAGACAATCCTCTATAAACATGGTTTTCCTCAACTGAGCTTTTGAAAAAAATCACGCTGAAATGAGTGGTATGTGTGATCAGTCAACAAGCATCTATTGCATACCTTCTAGGCACAATGTGAGGTGCTGGTTATAGCAGTAAACTAGACAGAGCAGGACCCAGGCCCCATTTGGGAGAAAGAATCAATAGTGTACAATCAAATAAGTAAATAAGATAATTTCTGAGAAGGAGTGTAAGTCAGTTCTGAGAATGAACTTGATGGAATGGTGACAGAGTGATGGGGGAGGGCTGCTGAAAATTAGGTTAAAATAGGGTAATCAAGTATGCCCTCTGTGAAAAGCGACATTTAAAGTGAGACCTGACAGAGCCAACCATGTGAAGACCCCAGGAAAGTATTCCAGATAGAGGCAACAACTAGTGCAAAGGCCTGAGGTGAAAACAAGCTCTGCAGCCTTTGGGGAAAGAGAAGGAAGGCCAGTGGGGCTGGATCCAGGTGGACCAGGAGGAATATAATACAAAAGGAGGTGACTGAATTGACTTCTTTGGGCACTTGAAAATGATTGGAGAATTTTAAGCTGGAGAATTTTAAGCAGGAGAATTAGTGATCCATTTCTTCTAGATCATTCTGAGTTGCTGTGTAGAACATGAATTTTAGGAAGGCAAGAATGGAATCAGAGCAGTGCAAATAATTCCAAATGAGAGAGACGTGTGGGCTTAGATTAATGTTAGCAGAGAAGACAGAAGCAGATGCTCTTATCTCATTTGCCCTCTTGGAAAGCCCTTGGAGGAATACCAGTACCTGTCCTTGGAGCTTAGATGAGGGTTATACTTATAAACGTGTGGTGCCCGCATCACTATGCCCTCATGTAATCTTTACATATGGATCTTCATATCCAATTGAACTGGGAGCTCTTGAAGAAGCCGTATTTCCTTCATCCAGTTTGAGGAACTGCCTTTACTCAGAAGGAAGGAAGGAGGTACTCTCTTGCCATCTATAACTACTAGGCTGTAGATATTATAACCAGTACTGTCATTTTATAGATGGAAAAAATGGAGGTCCTGGAAAGTTCGTGACTTTGAATCAGTCACACAGCTAGTTTGTGGCAAAGCCATTTTCTCTCTCTCCTTCCACTGTTGCCACTCTAGCATTTTGACTAACTGAAAAACAGTTTGGATGTTGTCATTGTTAATTTAAACTATGTTAACAGTTTGTATTTTGTGTGTGTTAATTTAAAGGATTAAAATTAACTTTAGGATTAAAATGAGCCCGCCAAATTGCCCGGGCTCAGTGGCTCAGCCTGTAATCCCAGCACTTTGGGAGGCCGAGGCGAGTGGATTGCCTAAGCCCGCGGGTTCAAGACCTGCCCGGGCAACTTAGCGAGACCTCATCTCTACAATAAATCAAAAACTAGCTGGGCGTGGTAGCGTGCGCCTGTAGTTCCGGCTACTTGAAAGGCTGAGACGGAAGGATCGTCGGAGCCCAGCAGGTCGAGGCAGCGGTGGCCGGGAGCAGCCACTGTACTCTAGTCTGGGTGACAGAGTGAGACTCCAACTCAAAAAAATAAATAAATAAATAAGAAAATAAAGGATGTTAAACGGTGTTAGTACCCTGATAGAAATCATTTCAGAAGCATTTTTTTTGCAGTACAGAGAACATTGATATGCCAGAGCAACAGATGAGAGATGAGAAAGAAAAGTGGGGTTGGGATAAGATGTGGCTCTACATTCCACTTAATAGATCTTGGTTTTGACAGTAGTGTTTGTTTGTTTTTTTAGCTTAGAAAGTGTAATGCATGGATATTTGCTTGTTGAAATTTGAAATAATGGTTTTTAATATGTCTGTGAACAATAATGGAACTTGACTGTAAATTTCTAATAATGTAATTGTGTATCTTTTTCTATGAAT